TATTAAATTACACTAAATGAAATTTAACTACACTTTATTAAATAGCATTTAATTGAATTGAATTAAGTTATATTAATTTCAATTAAATTAACATCAATAAAACTAAATTATAGAACATTACATTATTCTAATTTATATTTAAATAGATTAAATAAATTAAAATTAATTAAAATTAATATTGCCTACTCTATTATTTTTTTGCACACTTTAATTACAATGTAGTTAATTGAAAAGTCAATATGTCCATATGTGTCATTCATATAAAATTATTAATTGTCTCTAACTAATTTCTTAGTCTGTAACTAATTCCTATCACCAACATATACCAATTTATAAGTAACTAACTAATTTCTAAGTTCCTATCTAATTCCTAAGGTAGTGTTTGGTTGAAGGTTAATTTTAGGATTGATGAAAAAGTGTAGGTGGATATTGGAAAATACCACGTTTGGTTCAGGTTTTTTCAAGAAATACCAGACAAATAGGATAGATGAGAAAATGACTTTTGTGTTGATTTTTGGATGAAATTCACTGTTACAGAATACCACTTGAGATGTGGTATTGTGAGTTGACTGGGGAAATGAAAAAACAGGTGCAAAGTTTCTCCCGAACATAGATTTTGCATATTTAAATAAATTTCCCTGGTAATATTTGGGTCAACCAAACAACTTTTTTTACATTTTCCTATCAATTATATTTTCCTAGTAAAAAAAAATTTCTCCCGAACCAAACACTACCAAAGTTACTAATCATTCTCTTACATAGGTCACTAATATTTTTCTAACCTACTAACATTTATCTAAGTCACTAATAACTATCATATATTTTTTGCTGTTAATAAAAAATATAAACAAAAAATAAGGACTTACATGAGAGAGACAAAGCTTCGTTGTGCAAAACGCTCCAGAAGAAATGTAGAGAGTAGTTGGAGGAGTGGTTTAGAGAGAGGATGTGAAGGATGAAATGAGAAAAAAGTGAAAAATGAGGTATTTATAAACCAGGGAGGTCACGCCCCTGTTGGACGTGTCTCTCTCCTGGTCACGCCCATCTTGGGCGTGTTTGCCCAGTAGGTCATGCCCCACATGAGCGTGTCTCTCTCCATTGGAACACACCTCATGTGGGCGTGTTTGAGTGCTATATTTTCATAATTAATTTCAAAACGACTACTTTTTCATAATTTTTTATTAAAAAAGCAATAAATTATTTTTTTTTGCCGACAAACCATACCGAACTTTAATACTTGGAGAGAGAGAGAAAAAACAGAAGAAAAATAAAATACAGATATAAAGTAGTGGAATTCAATATATTTAGAAGCAATTGATTTAGATATTATCCAATAGTAAAAAAGTGATAATAAAAATATGAATATTAAATTGATAATGGGCATTATTGAGTTTTCCAGGCAGTCAAAATTATCTTATTTCTGGCTCGAATAAAATTATTCCTCGTAGAGAATACATATGGTTTATCTAAAAAAAATTACCTTAAAGGTTGCTCAATAATTCTTCCTATACTTGAAATTGGACATCAAGGACTTTTTTCAATTTAGAATACTTGTGCAATACCACCAAATATTTGTATCAACCGGTAGGGTATTGTTTCAACTTAATCGATGATCTTAGTTTAAGTCCTTGGAAACGCAACTGCATTAAAATTTGATAGGAAAAACTTTGTCATTCAGGTGTTTCTACCCAACTCGAATTGGACTTTTCGAGTAATTAATAAATCGATAAATAAACCATATGCACAATGACTCGTGTGCGTGTGTTGTTTACGTATAGGAGAAGAAACAATTTGAGTGTACGTATAATACAAGTTTGGTCTCTTTAACAGGAATACGAAGTATGTTTTTGTATGATAATTATGAGAGCGTGTCTGTGCTGCTGTATGCCATTTTAGGTGGGGGTGTATTAGTTTATAGGTAAAATATGCAAGATAGTAACCTCCAAGGGTAGCTCAGTTGGCAACTGAGCTCCCAAGGATTTGCTTGAGTCAGGGGTTCCACCCCTGCCTCAAGCAAATTCTTAGAAAATCTTTGGGGGCCAGAGGACGTGCCTCCCTCCTCGAATGGGGGATTAGTCTCATCCTCTAGTAGCAAAACTCAATGCACCCGCTGTTTCAATGAGGGGCTAGCCTTTAGGGTCGTACCCCGAGGGCAAGGTGATCGGAGGAGGTTAAATGGGGATACCTCCAGGTTAATACTAAAAATAAAAAATATGCAAGATAGTTTCTTAGTCCCATTACTAGTTTACTTGAGTTGCAATATGCTTATTGATTATTTTACCCTTCTTTTAAAATCAATTTACTTTTATTTATTTTTCAAACTATAGACTAACATATATATATATATATATATATATATATATATATATATATATATATATATATATATTCGGTTATATTTTACCAAATCATCAAAAACCGAGGGGGAAGGGTATGGGGAAATTTTGGCTACATTCAAAACCGTAGCTAACTTGCCCAAAAACCATGACTATTATGATTAACCACAACTTTGATCCCGTGGCTAATCGGAAGGATTTTGGCTATATTCAAAACTGTAGCTAACTTGCCCAAAAACCATGGCTATATGATTAACCACAACTTTGATCTCGTGGCTAATCGGAAGGAAAAACAATTACATCGCTATGAACACTAAATCATTGTCAAATCAGAAAAACAATCAAAATGATGTTAATCTTACTCGCAAAAAAGTGAGGCTGTTTCTCTAAAGCTATGTTCATTATTTTTAAACCACGAACGCAGTGGAAAGATCCTGACTAAATATTGCTCAACAACTTTTCCAGATTATGAAATTTTATATTTGTCTTCGGCCACACCTCTTACGAGCTAGTCTTGGTAAGAAGTTTGTTCAGCCTAGAGGAATCAAGTTTCGACTCGAAAGCTCCCGCATGAATCAAATAAAGAATAAATTGAGATATTCTAAAAAAATTCATACCAATTATGAAGTACATAAATGGTGTAAAACTCCTTTTGGAATGTATAATCAATACTACTATGAAATAAGAACATAGTAAGTTATGTAATATATATATATAGGGAGGGGCTATATTTACAATCCAAATAGTTTACAAACTCTTACAATCATATCATAACCGTTGATTTCCGCCAATCAACGGTTGTCATTTATTGTGAATTAATAAATTTGATTTGCGAAAATCTTAACAGTTGATTGACGGAAATCAACGGTTAAGATATAGTTGTAAACGAAAATAGGTTATAAATATAACCTTCCCCATATATATATATGGATAAATTATTCTATTTACTTTTTTTTCATATCTATTTTGCCTATCAATTTTCAACATTGTTAGATTAGAATTTCAAAAAGAGAGAAAAATAATAAAGATTAGTTGAAATTCTAATTTAAAGACATTAGAGAGTGATAAGCAAAATAGGTATAAAAAAATAGGTAAAATAACATATCTCGTAATAAAGATAAAAAAGTTCAGCCATAATATTATGATGTGTTCAGCCTGGAAATGGTCAAGGTCAAGTGCTAAATAGTGCATCCTTTATTTTTACTTTTATTTTAATTATTTAACAAGATTGATGAAGGTTTCAACTTTTGAATGCTACCGTTAAAAAACTACCCACATCGAATCGTTAAGATTTTTAATCATGGCAAGGAAAAGTTAAGATAACAAAATCGACGGATTCCATCAACACAGTACATCAACAAACCTGTATCCCTCCTCGACATCATTTTGAACAGTTTGAAGGCGATGTATGTGCATAGATTAAGGGATCATTTATTTGTGCCCACATAATTCACCTGGGTAAGAATCACCACTTCCAAAAATATTCATCAATAAAAAGTCGAATAAAACTTGCAATTTTTATCTGTTTATTGAACCCGTCAGCCGTTGCTCTATTCAACATGTTAACATGCAAAAAATATAGTTCTCGCCGATCCTTCTGAAAACGTACAAAAATATGGCATTAATACCACCCCACACGCTGAATGCAAGGCCAAAAAACTAACCTACAACAAAACTAGAATTGGACCTGTTATGGATATATATCATATCCTAACTACCAAGATACCCCCTAGAAGACCGTATTGCTATACCATAAGGTATGCGCTCAGAGATATCCTAGAAATAGATATCTTGATTGGCTTATAGTCAGTATCTCAATCACTGCACACAACCAATAGACATATAGCAAAGACAACCAATAGACATATAGCAAAGACGTGGATGTATGCACAGTGTTGCCAGTAATAGTAAATAGGTCAAAAAAGTGTTTATCAAGTGGCAAAGGTACACATAACGTCACCCGACATATCAGACATCGAAGTTATGCTCCATCTACCGACTTAATAAAGGGATACCTCAGCATGAGCAAGTCCAAGGTAACACAAACACCCCGACATTTCAAGCTTCGTAATACCGAGCTGGGGGATAACTGTTATGGATATATATCATATCCTAACTACCTACCTAAGAATCCACTAAAGAATAAATACTTAATTATCCTAACAATATCAAATAACAAAGCTATTCAAGATACAGCCCCTATCTCAACAGAAAGGAAGTTGAATCCTACTGCAATCGGAAAATCTACACAAACCCTAGAGGTAATCCTTAAAAATAAGGGGCTAAAGACCTCAGGTACACACTTTTTTGACCTATTTACTATTACTGTCAACACTGTGCACGCACCCACGTCTTGGCTATAAGCCTATTGCTTGTGCGCAGTGATTGGGATACTGGCTATAAGCCAACCAAGATACCTATCTCTAGGATATCTCTGAGCGCATACCTTACGGTATAGCAATACGATCTTCTAAGACTTAACAGGACCTAAGTTATTTTCGAATTGATATATTTTGATTGCGTACAAGGATTTCCTCCACCCCACACTTGATAATCGGGTTTAACGGGAAGTGATTTTTTGATTTTTTTTTTTTTTTTTTTAGATATATTTTGGCTAGACCAATATTTTCCCAAAACTAGCATAAACCAATCAGCTACTGCACACTTATGAAGCAAGGGGATTTTAGTATAACCGCATACTTAAATTATTCAATAAATATATGAACTCTTTATGTACAAAGATAGCTACAATAAACATCAGCAACGGGCTACATGCTGGCAACAATGGAAGGAAGTTCTGTATCTGCTTCGTGATCTCTTTCCAATCCCTCCGTGGTCTATACAGAGACACAAGCATGATTAAGTTTTATATTGTTTTGGGAAAGCAGAATGGGATAATAAGTAAGATACATCGTGCTAGAACAAAAGAAAAACGATCAATCAATTTGATAGAAGCAAAGACAAATTTATGTCATCCAAAAGATACATACCTCTGAATTAATTTTATGTTCTGAAAGATAACGATCCAACGCACCCTTTCCATAAAGGATTTTGGCCCCTCGTTCATTTCCCTCATATCCAACAGCCTCTTCGTCAACAACGACAGCGTCTATAATATCATCACCAGTTCTAGTATCGGGAATCTGCACAAGAATTCTAAACTCATAATCTGTGCCACAATTCCTGATGCAGTATAATCCAAATCCAATAAGTTAAATTCCCCTAATAACTCAAGCAAAATGGCAGCAATTCACAGAAACCTTTTAAAACATTGTCAAACAACAAAATACAACAGAACCATATTGCCTGAAAAAATCAAGTTATCAGGTTTTTATGACATCAATTGACTTTGACCAGAGACATTGAAGGACATCTACAAATAGGCCGTTTGAGCAATAAGAAATAAAATAAAAATGATATAGTAATTAACCCAACAATTCACATATAGGCTACATCAATGAACCTAAAAGCCTATTTTGGAAAGACCATTATCACATCTACCAAAAACAATAAACATATTCTCATTATATAACTCTCAGGCTTGTGTCTTGGTCTCATGGTCTCTCCATGCCCAAGATGCGGCATTTTCACTAAACAGGGTGTAGTTGAAAATCAATGTTCCCATTCTGGTGTAAGTTGAAGATTATTTTCCCACATGGTATAATATTTGTTTTATGAACAACTCTCCCAAAAGCTTAAGTTATTAGGTGAAAATACATAAATGATTTTATATTATATCTCTAAGGGTTGAAAATGGAAAATTTTAGGTAGCAAAGGAAGATAAAAGTTAATAAAGACTAAATAATATGAACTCGGTATTGATTTGTTGTTAGAATGTGATTCAAACTATAAAGCACCAATCCCTATTTATACAAAGCACTAATCCTTATTAATAGTAACATTAAACTCCAAATCCTAATTAAATAAGGAAATAAATCACAAAATGTAAATAAATAAGAAAACTATTCCTAAGAGCATAGTTATCAAATGCAGGTAGCGGCCAACCCCCAAAAACACTATAGCGGGTAACGGCCAACCAATAGCAGAGTTCTATGCGTGAACCTGTTATATAGATATACCACAATATAAATGCTAAAAATTTAAACCATAAATCATAATTAAATATATTATCATTCCAAATATGGATTCTAAATAATGTTTCAATTAAAAAGATCCAAAATACTATAAATTGAAATGATCTAAATATTATCAATTACAATGTTCCATAGTCAAATTCTAAAAAAGAACTAATTTGCAATAGGCAGTATACAAGGTCAAGGAGACAAGTAACTTCATTGCCTTCATGCTCTAGGGGAAAGGTACATATAGAAACTAAAGGTGGTGATTACCAAATTGAAGATGTGCCAAGACAACTTTACAATGTAGAAACTAGTGATAGTGAGGGTAAAACAGAAGCAATTATGAATATGTTAGAAGTGAAGATTCTTATTAGTTCCTTTTGAGAACTTAAATATGGAATATTGTAATTGACAATATTTAGATCCTTTCAGTTGACAGTATTTAGATATCCCTATTTGTTTTGGAATGATAGAGATTATATATTTCATTGTCAATGTCTTTATTTTTGAACATTTATATGTGTAGTATATTTAGATTTTATTCCACTATACCACCATACTGCAACCCCCGACATAGCATTTTCAGGGTTGGCCGCAACCCACATTTCATAACTATGTCTTGAGGGGGAATGCTATAAATATAAAAAAAAAAATTGTAATTATGGAATTTTTTTTATGATACGACTTGTACTTTTCATTTTGGTTCATCTGCCACCGACCCTAATTAATTTGGGATAAAAGTGTTGTTGATGTTGATATGAAATATTATAGGAGCTGTGATAGATTATATGGAAGATTTGTTTCCAGGTTATTTCCTTAGATTAAACCTCTTTTAGGAAAGTAATCACTGGTATACATCTACATAATATAACACCCTGTACATGAAAAATCAATAACATTCAGATTTTGAATTCCAAATTTCTACTTCTCTATATTCCCTAATAAAAAATAAAATATAGCAAGTTATCATGCACATAAGTGAGTGTCAACACTTAGTGCTTATATTTTGTTTTTCTGCAAAGGTTGACCGGTGTTATTAAGTTTTACCAAGTCTATAACCCTCCCAGATCCCCTAGGCAACATCTGCAGTCCATTTCATATACCATAATCAATTCATTCAACTGAAGAACAAATGACATACCTCATACATGGCATCTACCAACACATTCTCTAATATTGAACGTAAGCCCCGAGCCCCAGTACTTTTAGATATTGCTTTTCTGGCAATTGATCTTAGAGCGTTTTCGGTAAAATGCATCTTAACCTGAGCAACAAAGTACTTGTCAATTTCATGTCAGAATAATCATATCCAGCACAAGAAAGCCTCCCATCAAACATTCAAATTTTAAATTAGTAAATCCCCCCCCCCCCCCCCCCCCCCCCCCCCCCCCCCCCCCCCCCCCCCCAATCCTCAAAACTACCATGATCAAACAAGAAATAAGTTTATCGAAACAACAGTTTAAACATAAAGCACGGTTTTCTGTAAAACATACAAGGTAAAAGAGGAGGCTGATAAAAACTTACACCATTCATTTCGAACATCTTCTTGTATTGCTTCCCTAGAGCATTCTTCGGCTGTGTGAGGACCTTTAAAACATTAAAATAGCAAAGTATGTTAAAAGCACTTTTAAAATATAATGTAAGTGAACAACTTGATTTAACTTCTTGAATTCTATTCTATAAATTAAAAACTGACTAAAGAAAGGAAAGACGAAATTCAAAAAGTCAGGCAAGAAGAATCAATACTTTTATTAATGAGAATGCCAGTAATTCTGATTTTCTCACTCATTCAATATTGTAATGTGTCAATACATACATAATACACTACCTCATTCAGTTCCAAACAGCCAAATGAAAAGAGCACTACGTGTACAATTCTTTCAGGTTGATATAGCCTACCTGAATGAGTTGAATTTCACTTAAAGCTGACAAACTGACAAGGATAGGAAACCGCCCAATAAATTCAGGTATTAAACCATAGGCAATAAGATCACTACTTTCAACCTGCCAAAATAATAATTTTCAATGGTGATAATATCTAACTTGAAGCTAGTTGGTTAGGAAAAACCAGTACTCCTTAATAAAGAAGCAAAAAGATACGTCAAATGTAACTTACAGTTTCTAATAATGATGATGCAACAGCAGCATCAGTGACACTGCCTGCCCTCATGTTTGCACGTATAGGAGCCCCAAATCCAATAGAAGAATCTTGTCGCCTGCAAGGGAATCAAAGAGTTCTTAATTACAGAAACACAGCCCCCTCCATGTTATTATCACTAAGTATAAATTATTAAATTTTAAGGGTTTTATGCAACCTTTCGGAGATTGTTTTCTCTAAGTCAACAAAGGCTCCTCCACAAATGAAAAGTATATGCTTTGTGTCAATCTGTGACAGTTGCCATAACAGTTATAAATGAATTGAAAACCGAAGATGGCTTTTCACCATATAGAAGGAATCCATAGATGAAATTCAATCAACCCAAAGGAAACAGATATATTTACATATAAAAAAACTGTGTGGGTGGGGGGCGGGGGGAGAACAAGAGATAGTCAACCCCTGCACAAAAGTTAAAAGCAAAAACATACTTAACCAATTGAGGAACCAACGTGTGGTCATGTCCCTGCAGACCCAAAGCATAATGACGTGACAAACCTAGTCCAACAGATCATAGAGATGAGATTCATTGACATTCTGGTCAAGATCCCCAACATACAATGACGCCTTCTTGACTAGATTAGGAAGAGTTTATGAATTCCTAAAATTTAATCCTAAGTCTATATGGGATCGACCACATATTTGCTGGATTATAATAACGCATGATTCATGCACTTGCGAGTATTTTTAAGACTTGAAAAAGACAACTATGTCACCTGAACATTGTATGGAATGAAGATTATAATGTACACATACCTGAACATTGTCACCTCTAGGATGCTTTTGAGCTCCCTTCTCAGGAACATTGACAACCTTGTTGAAAACAATGCTACAGATCAATACACAATAAAGTGCTTAAAGTATAATAATAATAAAAAATTATTCATTAACTATCTTTTATGTTGCTATGCCTATTCCACAATCATAGTAGCAGTAGTTTCACAAATTTATAAAATCACTTGCACCCAAAGTTTCTGACACTATGAAATGCACTTACTGTTCCCTCGAGCATCTTCAATAATGCCTGCTGAACACCTTCCCCAGAGACATCTCTATTGATATTAAGGCTCTCAGCCTGAAAAGTAAACATTAGATGAAGAAACAGTAAAAAATTATTTGGTTTTGAAATTTTGAGAAAAAAATAAGAAGGAAATTACAGCTGTTAGCCATTTAGTATATAAATGTTAGCTTCATTTCTCTCTCTGTAATAATGATTCATTTGGTTCAGATTCAATAGAATAATGCTTTCTCTTCATCTCTTTCTCTCTCAACCTTTTCTCTCGCTTTCTCTCATTTTCTTAAGCTTTCCTTTAATGGATCTCTTCTAATATGGTATCAGAGCTCTCTCTGAGGGCCTGATCCGTTTAGATCTCTATCATGTCTTCCGCTTCCGACTCTGATTCGAACGCTTCTGACAACTCGAACGCATCACAACCTAGATCCAGATCTCAACATAGATCCAGATCTCAACAAAAGTCCACTTCAATGAAAATCAAGACAGCTTCTCTCTTCAATCTTCAAATTTCTGCAAAACTTACCGAAGATAATTACCTTTTCTGGAATCAGATCATTGAACCGGTAATTACTTCACACCAATTGCATCGTTTTCTTGTTAATCCAAAAATTCCTCTCAAGTTTGTTTCAGACGAAGACAGAGAGAATGATATTCTGAACTCCGCTTATGTCGATTGGCTCAATCAAGATCAGATGCTACTTACATGGCTCCTATCCACTATTTCTGAGTCTACTGTAAATGATATTCTACCTGTGAAGCACTCCTTTGAGGCCTGGGACAATATTCACAAACTTTTTCATGGAGTCATGAAGTCTCGAGTTCGTCAACTCAGATCTGAGTTGAAAACTATGAAGAAAGGCTCGAAGACTATTAAAGAATACTTAACACGTATCAAAACACTATGTGACTCGCTCAAGTCGATTGGGAAGCCTATTTCTATTGAGGAGCACACTGAGACTATTCTTGAAGGATTACCATCAGAGTATACTTCTTTCGTTATGATGATACATGGACGAGAACGAGACTGCACTATTGCAGATCTAACAGTGGAGTTACTAGCTCATGAACAGTTGTTAATCAAGCAAAACGATACTCTGTTGACTGAAGGAGCAACTATAAATCTCACTCAGCGTCTTCCAAGCTCAGATCGAGAAGTTATAGATGAAGAAGAAGACTCTGTTTCTGAAACCAGAAAACAGAGTCGAACAGAGCATCAAAACTTCAGTCAGTTCCACAACTCAAGTGGTCAGAATAGAGGACGAGGACGTTCAGGTGGAAGGTCTGGTCGTGGAAGAGGACGAGGCACCAGAACACATGTCCACTGTCAACTTTGCTATAAATTTGGACATGATGTTAGAGATTGTTGGCATCGATTTGAAGAGAATTTTGTTCCGAATCTACCTCCACCACAAAACACTCCTTATCCTCACTACTTTGTTCATCAACCACCTCAACCAGTGAGGTCCTTCCAGTATCAACACCAACAATCTCAACCAATGAGATCTTTCCAGTATACAAGACCAACAAGTCAGTCTCAGCCTCAAGCATACTTTGCTGCTCCTTCTAGTCTACCTTCCACATGTAGTTCTCCCCCTCTGGTTGAATGGTTACCAGATTCTGGTGCATCAAGTCATGTAACTGGTACATCTCAAAATATTATGCAAGGCCAGCAACTTAGTGGTACTGATCATGTTCTGATTGGAAATGGACAAGGTCTTCCTATAACAGCTACTGGTTCCTCCTCTTTTCAATCTCCTTTTGACTCTAACACTCACCTGCACCTTCAGAATTTACTTTTGGTTCCCTCCATTACTAAAAATCTTATCAGTGTTAGCAAATTTGCTAAAGACAACTCAGTTTTCTTTGAGTTTCATTCTGATGTGTGTTTTGTAAAATGCCAGGTTTCACATAAAGTCCTCCTTCAAGGTGCAGTGGGTTCTGATGGGTTGTACTATTTTCCAAAGTTGAAGCCCTCCAAAAGTCATACTTCTGCAACCAGTAACATCTGTGCTAGCTCTCCTGTGTCCTCGACTATCAACAAGTCTGTTAATGTTGTTAATGCTGTTAGTCCAAATAGCAAAACACATAGTCATTGTTCTAGAACTGTTTCTGATATATGTAGCCCTTCTAGCTCTTTGTATTCCTTATGGCATTATAGGCTGGGACATCCCCACTTTAATTCCCTTAAAAGTGTACTCAAATCTTGTAATATACACATCAATTGTGCAAAGTCTCATAGACAACATTCTTTACCATCTCATACAGAATACAAAGAGCCATTCACTCTTGTTTTCAGTGACTTGTGGGGACCATCACCTCTTAAATCCACTCTAGGCAATGCTTATTATATCTCATTCGTTGATGCCTGCACTAGGTACACATGGCTTTATCCAATAAAGCAAAAATCAGATGCAATAAGCATTTTCAAACAATTTCATGCCATGGTGACCAATCAGTTCCAACTCCCTCTAAAAGCTTTACAAACAGATTGGGGAGGGAGTTTAGAGCCTTTACTCAATATCTTAACTTGCAAGGAATAGCTCATCGAATCACTTGCCCACATACTTCTCACCAAAATGGTGTTGTTGAAAGAAAACACAGACATATTGTAGAGACTGGTCTAGCCCTCTTAGCTCATTCATCTCTTCCAATGCAATACTGGGACTATGCCTTTACCACAGCTACTTACCTTATAAACAGACTTCCTTCCTCTGCTATCAAATTTGAAATCCCTCACATTAAGTTGCACCATCAACAACCTGATTACAGCTTTCTTAGAACCTTTGGCTGTGCTTGTTTCCCTTTTCTAAGACCTTACAACAAACATAAGCTTGAGTTTAGATCTCAAGAGTGCATTTTTCTTGGTTACTCTATCAATCATAAAGGGTATATTTGCTTGAGTCCAGAAAACAGAATATTTATATCTAAAGATGTCCTATTCAATGAATACAAGTTTCCTTACACAGAATGGCATACTAACAAAACTTCTTCTGTTTTGCACCAGTCTACCTCTACTTCTACTTCTGTTCCTCTAACTATTTTCCTTCCACAAACTTGTCCAACCAGCCTCACCACTAATTCAGCATCATCTATTAATTCCTCATCAACATCTGTTCCTCACAGTGATCCTTCTTCTGACTCCTCCAACATTTCTCTGTCAGCAAACACTACACACCAGTCTGGTCATTTCTCGAATTCAGCCACACATTTACCTTCTTCCCCATCACCTTCTGTTCACACTCCTAATGTTTCCAGTCAAAACACCAGCTCTAGTTCTGGTCCTGAATTATGTTCCTCTGAGTATGTCCCATCAGGTCCTTCTGCACCTCCCTCTCCAACACACTCTATTATCACACGCTCTAAGGCTGCAACCAGAAATCTTGTTCTCCTCACTCATTCAGAACCCACATCAGTTAAGGGAGCCTTGACTAGTCCTCACTGGTTTAAGGCAATGCAATTAGAATATGATGCTTTGCAATCTAACCACACATGGTCTCTTGTTCCTTTACCACATGGCAGGAAGGCTATTGGGTGTAAATGGGTCTTTCGCATCAAGGAAAATTGTGACGGAACAGTTAACAAATACAAAGCCAGGCTTGTTGCCAAAGGCTTTCATCAACAGCAGGGCTATGATTACAATGAGACTTTCTCACCAGTTGTTAAACCCACCACAATCAGAATTATTCTCACTCTAGCTCTCTCTTATGGCTGGCCCTTAAAACAACTCGATGTCAACAATGCTTTCCTTAATGGAGAGCTTGTCGAAGAGGTCTACATGACACAACCCCCTGGATTTGAAACAGAGAATAAGAATCTGGTATGCAGATTACACAAAGCTCTTTATGGGCTAAAACAAGCCCCTCGTGCATGGTTTGAAAAGTTTGGAACTACTCTTCGACAACTTGGTTTTTACTCTAGCAAGTGTGATCCCTCTTTATTCATTCTTCACTCTAATGGGAGCTGCATATATGTATTAGTCTATGTGGATGATATCATCATCACTGGAAACAACTCAGCTCTAATTCAACAGATCACTGATCAAATGAACTCTCACTTTGCTCTAAAACAGTTAGGAACCTTGGATTATTTTCTGGGTATAGAAGTTAAGCCTCTTTCTCATGGGAGACTTCTGTTATCTCAAGGTAAATATGTGAAAGACTTACTGTGCAAAGCTGGAATGTCAGATGCAAAAGGTATCTCTACTCCTATGCCTAGTGGCTGCAAACTAAGCAAG